ACAGTTTAAGTGTTAAGATGATCATAACTCATATTGGTAGGTGGTAATTGTGGGATCATGGGTGCTTTATGGTAAATTAAAGTCTGTTATGGGTGCAGAAAGATGAGCATTGAAATGTCTGCTACTAGATTTTGGGTAACATACAGCATACAGACAAGCAATCAGTGGAAATTATATTAGTGAATTTTCATTTTTACAATTAAGTCATTAACATCCATTTGTACATATGTTTTCCTAGCTATTTGCAGTTTTAGATCTTGCTGTACAAAATAAGGACTAAACAGTACCAGTTTAATGAAGGAAGTTTATTTTCCCCTCTTGGCTCTGCACACATGGCATGCATGCTAACCTTCACTACATAATCTCCAATAAACAAATCACGTTTTTTTCTCTGTAATCCAGGGATTAGGTGTTCCCCTAGAAAACTGCAGGGAAATTAGTTATGAATAGAGATTCAAACCATTGAATTACTGGTCTCAACAAAGTCAAGGATTATAGGAATCATTCTTTTTTTTAAATCCCTGTGACAGTGTGACCTATGATTTGATCACATAAAATTATGACATAAAATTGCCTCTTTTTCTGTGTATTTTATTACATGGCTTCACATATTCACAGTAGACACAATAGTCCAGGGGCATTGCTAGAATGTGAAAGACCTAGGGCACCTTGAGGCACACAGGGGAAAATACACTCACTGGCCTCTTTATTAGGTATATCTGTTTAATTGCTTGGTAACACAAATTGCCAATCAGGCAATCACATGGCAACAACTCAACGCATTTAGGCATCTGGACGTGATGAAGACGCGCAAAAGCGCGCATTAGAGATACACGCAGTTCACCCATTTTTGGTTTCAACCTCCATCTTGGCGAAGGGACTAACCATCCTGAAATATATATTTTCCTGCATCCTCCCCCCTTCCCTCTCTGTTCAGCCACAGCGACATCTGGTTGTGGGTCACTAGCAGGCTAGAGCAGCAGGGGGCCCAGAGCTACAAAGCCCCCAAGAGAGACAGAGCCGCTCTGCCCAAGAACCTGTGGAATCTCTCACCTCGTAACAGAGATAAGGCAGCTTCTCCCAGGAATTGAAAGAGGTTTTAACCTCATAAAACCTAGCAGCGTAGGTGACAGAATTAAATGAACATTCCTCAAGTCAGTTTTTTCCCCTATGTTTCATATCATGGATTATGAAAGATGTTGGTTCTAATTCAGAGTCCGCCCGACGATCCCTCCCTAAACAGAGTATTGGTCAGTTACTCAGAGCCACCCCCCTGCTGGGGGACTTTAAAAACACAGGATAGCAGGCCTAAAAAGTTAAGTTGAAGACATCTCCCAATTCTTAACATCAATATACCACCTGGGGAGACCCTTTCACTCTGAAATGTGATCTGCTTCCATTCAAGGCTTAAATGGCAAGTAACTTAACCCTTTAACTTCTCCCTGTTATCTCTTTGCTGTGCTATGCTGTTTTCTATGTATATATATATATATATATATATCTCTTAGTTACATCTTTTTCTGTAAATATTTTATTGCACCTGTTTGACTCTTTTAGTAATAAATCATTCTTTCTGAAAGTGTTAGACTGTTTCTAAAGCGCTTAATTGCAATTTACAAATTCCTGCCTCTAAAGAGACGCTACTGTGTGTGTTTAATCCTCTGCCCAATCGGCCTGCGGTGACCGTATTGAACAGACGACTTTTCAACCATTATAGTGTATATTTGATAAAGAGAGTTTCCTCTTTCTCTGTACAAAAAAGGGGTGGTGGTAGTGTGTAAGGGTCAGTTGCGTAATTAACCTGACCCAGTAACAAGCGCATCCAGGCTTCAGGCAGAGATTGAAATCTATTAGCTGGAAAATCGCTGTGTAGGGTGTAGCTGGGTGTGGCATTGTTAGCACTTCACATCGCGGTCTGGATCGGCCAGTACTTTGGTCACAAGTTTGGTGAGAAGGTCTGGGGTCTGACGCCGCGATAGTGACAAAGACAACTTGCTGAAGTTCAAAATGAGCATCAGAATGGGGAAGAAAGGGGATTTAAGTAACTTTTAACCACTTACCCGCCGCGTGATTTTGCATTTACGGGTAGGGGGTGGTGCGCGCGAGCTGCTCATGCACCCTACCCGCACTGCTGGTTGCGGCCCTGGGTGTCAATCAACGGCTCCCGGATGGTGATTACCTGACAGCGCCCGGTGATTGCTGAGAATCACCGACTGGGAAGAGGGCTGCTTTATTTACCAAATAAAATGAATTGCGGTTGTATTGGTCCACAGAAACTATGAGTATTCCATCACTTCAGTTTTTCAGGATATAAACAGCACCATTTTAAATTGGGAAAGCATCTGATCACACCGATCTTGGTTTGATTACATAATGTAAGGGCAGAGGAGAGAAATAGAGTCTAATAGACCCCAGATTTCTCAAAAAAAGAAATATATGACAATGCCCATTGAAGTTATAGGGTATATCTGCATTCCCTGTGATAGCATTAAAAGTGATTAAAAAAAAATGAAAGGGACAGTGTAAAAATAATTTAAAAAATCAAAATAACTTAAAAAAAAGCACCCTCGCCCCTTGCGTGTGCACCTGCGTGTGCAAGCGTTGACCCTGTGCCAGTATATAAACAGTGGTTGCACCATGCATGTGAGGTATCGCCACGGATGTCAAATCAAGGGCAGTAATTCTAGCACTAGCTTGTAAAGTCTTTTAAAAGCGTTGTCTATGGATATTAAAAATGTATGCAGTTTGTCGCCATTGCACGGGGCACGCGCAGTTTTAAAGCATGTCATGTTTGGTATCTATTTACTCAGAGTACCATCTTCTTTTATATTTTACTAAATAACTGGCCAATATATTGTTTTTTTGTGCATTAAAAGTAAAAAAAAGTATATTTTTTTTTAAAAAAATTGTGTTTGAAAAATCGCAGTGCGAGTACTATGTAACATAAAAAATTTCAGCACCCACCATTTTATATTCACTAGGTTGCCTGCTTTAAAAAAATTTCTATTGGGGGCGTGTCCAAGATGGCGACCGGAGCGGCCGCATAATCGCAAGCTCCGGCGCCCTGCATCTCCATCCACTGCCATCCGGACAGCAGAGAGCCATTAGCGGGCACCGGAGTCCTCCCTGACCCTGCCTGCACCTGAAGGAGGAGAGCGGAGTGATTTTAGTCCCCCTCGGCGTTGGCAGATATACTCACTGCCCATTGCGGCCTACCACGGCCGGCCGCGATCCCTCTCCTCGTGTTATCCACTGCCATCCGGGCCAGGGGGAGCCTCTAGTGGGCATCGGAGGACTCCCCTGTCCTCACTGCACCTGGAGGAGGGGAGGGAATCGATTTTGGCCCCTCTCTGCAGCGGTTGACGTATCCGGCCTGTTGAGGCCTGCCGTGCCTGGCCACAGCAGCATTAGGCCTCAGCTCCCAGTACCATCCACCCTTGAATGTGAGTACAGCCAGTGGGGGGAGTGCAGCCAGTCCCATCAGATCCCCCACCAAGACCCCTGAGCCTGTACCAGTTGTCTGGGGCCTGTTACGAGGTGATTGTGGCCCCTGTTGGGGCTGGAGGCTTGTGGGGACCTGCGGCTGTCTGGGAGCCGGGTGTCTGGGCTCCATGTGCTCCTTTTGACCAGCTCTGGGTTCTGGAGCCCTGGAGATCCTGACCCTGCACCCTATTACTTAAAACCACGCAGCTGCTACCCGCATAAACCCATATGCTGAATCTCATTTTTACAATATGGAAGCTGTGTCTGGAAACCTGATTGCATCTATGTACCTATACTCTCGCATCAGTACCGGGCGTTATAGCTCCCCTGGGGTCATTACCACATCCCTGGCTATACAAAATTTCAATTGATCACCCCCAGGAGAGTTTCTGCATGCTGTTCACCAAGAAGAAAAGTAGGGGTAATGCTCAGAAATCCCTTACGACGTATTTAATGAAAACGCACGAGATTGGCAGCATGTCTCAGGATATCACTGAACGAGCATCTCCTTCCGGTTCCATACAGGATACCGCAGCCCATCTTTCAGCTCAGGACAGTGAGAATACACAGCAACTTACAAAGGGGGACTTGGAGTCTTTCCTGGCAACTATGTACACCAAGTTGGCCGCCAAGTTCTAATCAGAACTCCACAAGAGCACAAACGTTCTCTCTCAGGAAATAGCTGCGTTAGGCTCCAGAACTGACCGTTTAGAAACCAAACACGATGAGCTCAGCCTAGCTTAGGGCGAGCTCTCCAGAGATCACGATCATTTACAAACCGCCTTTATGCAGCTGCAGGCACAGGTTGAGGATCTAGACCAGTGATGGCGAACCCGTGGCACGCGTGCCACAGCCGGCACGCCGAGCCTTATCTGTGGGCACGCCAGGAGAATCCAGCGGCGCGCTGTCTTCCCGGCTGTAGTGTGCGTGACAGCCGGGTCCCAAGTGCGCATGCACAAGAAGCAGTGCTCTTTGTGAATGGTAAGGCGGTACCTGGGACACATGACAGATCCCAGAAGCCGCCGGACCAATCACAAAGCGCAGCGCTTCTCGCGCATGCGCACTGGGCATCCGGCTGTCCGACGAGCGCCCACACTACAGAAGCCGGGAAGACTACAGAAGCCGGGAAGACAACGCGCGGCTGGATAAAGGAACAGGTAAGATAAAAAAAAAAACTCTGCGGAAGTAAGAGCGGGTACCTGTCAAATTCAGGTACCCGCTCCCCCTCCCTCCTCAAAGGTCAGCAGTCATCTCTGTACTGTCCGCAGTCTCTGGTCATCCCTGTGCTGTCCGCAGTCTCTGGTCATCCCTGTGCTGTCCGCAGTCTCTGGTCATCCCCTGTGCTGTCCGCAGTCTCTGGTCATCCCCTGTGCTGTCCGCAGTCTCTGGTCATCCCTGTACTGTGTCCGCAGTCTCTGGTCATCTCCTGTACTGTCCGCAGTCTCTGGTCATCCCTGTGCTGTCCGCAGTCTCTGGTCATCCCTGTACTGTGTCCGCAGTCTCTGGTCATCCCTGTGCTGTCCGCAGTCTCTGGTCATCTCCTGTACTGTGTCCGCAGTCTCTGGTCATCCCTGTACTGTGTCCGCAGTCTCTGGTCATCTCCTGTACTGTGTCCGCAGTCTCTGGTCATCCCTGTACTGTGTCCGCAGTCTCTGGTCATCCCTGTACTGTCCGCAGTCTATGGTCATCCCTGTACTGTGTCCGCAGTCTCTGGTCATCCCTGTACTGTCCGCAGTCTCTGGTCATCCCTGTACTGTCCGCAGTCACTGGTCATCCCTGTACTATGTCCGCAGTCTCTGGTCATCCCTGTACTGTCCGCAGTCTCTGGTCATCTCCTGTACTTTCCGCAGTCTCTGGTCATCCCTGTACTGTCCGCAGTCACTGGTCATCCCTGTACTGTGTCCGCAGTCTCTGGTCATCTCCTGTACTGTGTCCGCAGTCTCTGCTCATCCCTGTACTGTGTCCGCAGTCTCTGGTCATCCCTGTACTGTGTCCGCAGTCTCTGGTCATCCCTGTACTGTCCGCAGTCTCTGGTCATCTCCTGTACTGTCCGCAGTCTCTGGTCATCTTCTGTACTGTTCGCAGTCTCTGGTCATCTCCTGTACTGTGTCCGCAGTCTCTGGTCATCTCCTGTACTGTGTCCGCAGTCTCTGGTCATCTCCTGTACTGTCCGCAGTCTCTGGTCATCTCCTGTACTGTCCGCAGTCTCTGGTCATCCCTGTACTGTGTCCGCAGTCTCTGGTCATCCCTGTACTGTGTCCGCAGTCTCTGGTCATCTCCTGTACTGTGTCCGCAGTCTCTGGTCATCTCCTGTACTGTCCGCAGTCTCTGGTCATCTCCTGTACTGTGTCCGCAGTCTCTGGTCATCCCTGTACTGTGTCCGCAGTCTCTGGTCATCCCTGTACTGTGTCCGCAGTCTCTGGTCATCCCTGTACTGTGTCCGCAGTCTCTGGTCATCCCTGTACTGTGTCCGCAGTCTCTGGTCATCCCTGTACTGTGTCTGCAGTCTCTGGTCATCCCTGTACTGTGTCCGCAGTCTCTGGTCATCTCCTGTACTGTGTCCGCAGTCTCTGGTCATCTCCTGTACTGTGTCCGCAGTCTCTGGTCATCTCCTGTACTGTGTCCGCAGTCTCTGGTCATCTCCTGTACTGTGTCCGCAGTCTCTGGTCATCTCCTGTACTGTGTCCGCAGTCTCTGGTCATCTCCTGTACTGTCCGCAGTCTCTGGTCATCCCTGTACTGTGTCCGCAGTCTCTGGTCATCCCTGTACTGTGTCCGCAGTCTCTGGTCATCCCTGTACTGTGTCCGCAGTCTCTGGTCATCTCCTGTACTGTGTCCGCAGTCTCTGGTGGTCCCATCCCTGTCATCCCTGTCCGCAGTCTCTGGTCATCCCTGTACTGTGTTCGCAGTCTCTGGTCATCCCTGTACTGTGTCCGCAGTCTCTGGTCATCCCTGTACTGTCCGCAGTCTCTGGTCATCCCTGTACTGTGTCTGCAGTCTCTGGTCATCCCTGTACTGTGTCTGCAGTCTCTGGTCATCCCTGTACTGTGTCTGCAGTCTCTGGTCATCCCTGTACTGTGTCTGCAGTCTCTGGTCATCCCTGTACTGTGTCTGCAGTCTCTGGTCATCCCTGTACTGTGTCCGCAGTCTCTGGTCATCCCTGTACTGTGTCCGCAGTCTCTGGTCATCCCTGTACTGTGTCCGCAGTCTCTCTGTCCGCAGTCTCTGGTCATCCTGTACTGTTCCGCAGTCTCTGGTCATCTCCTGTACTGTGTCCGCAGTCTCTGGTCATCTCCTGTACTGTGTCCGCAGTCTCTGGTCATCTCCTGTACTGTGTCCGCAGTCTCTGGTCATCTCCTGTACTGTGTCCGCAGTCTCTGGTCATCTCCTGTACTGTGTCCGCAGTCTCTGGTCATCCCTGTACTGTGTCCGCAGTCTCTGGTCATCCCTGTACTGTGTCCGCAGTCTCTGGTCATCCCTGTACTGTGTCCGCAGTCTCTGGTCATCCCTGTACTGTCCGCAGTCTCTGGTCATCCCTGTACTGTGTCCGCAGTCTCTGGTCATCCCTGTACTGTGTCTGCAGTCTCTGGTCATCCCTGTACTGTGTCCGCAGTCTCTGGTCATCCCTGTACTGTCCGCAGTCTCTGGTCATCCCTGTACTGTCCGCAGTCTCTGGTCATCTCCTGTACTGTGTCTGTGTCCGCAGTCTCTGGTCATCTCCTGTACTGTGTCCGCAGTCTCTGGTCATCCCTGTACTGTGTCCGCAGTCTCTGGTCATCCCTGTACTGTGTCCGCAGTCTCTGGTCATCCCTGTACTGTCCGCAGTCTCTGGTCATCCCCTGTACTGGTCCGCAGTCTCTGGTCATCCCTGTACTGTGTCCGCAGTCTCTGGTCATCCCTGTACTGTGTCCGCAGTCTCTGGTCATCCCTGTACTGTTAATTAGTTTGCACTACTGTACGAGTTGTTTTTTCTAAACCAAAAGCTCGATATTCAGGTTTCATTGCAGTGTTGGCACTTTGAAAGAAATAAGTTGGTTTTGGGTTGCAGTTTGGGCACTCGGGCTCAAAAAGGTTCGCCATCACTGATCTAGACAATCGTAACCACAGGCATAATCTATGAATTTGGGGAGTCCCAGAGACTGTAACTGATCTTTCTCATACCACAATCAAGTTATTTAAGTCCCTCCTCCCAGACCACGATGTTGGATCCTTTGTTTGTGATCGCATCCATAGAGCTCTGTGCCCAAAACCTCCTAATGATAAACCACCTTGCAACATTGTTCTGTGTATGAAGGATTTCCTGACCAAAGAAGATATACTCAGGGCTGCTTGCAATACTTCACCGATCACTTTCGAAGGCTCAACATTGCAAATATTTCCGGATATCTCTCCGACCACGTTGGAGAGACGCAGGAAAATGAAGGAAATCATATCTACCCTTTTTTTGGCTCGTATCCATTATAAATGGGGCTTCCCCTTTAAGCTGATAGTCCCACACAATGGTAGCACATATGTAGCCACATCTCTTCCTGAAGGCCGAGAAATCCTGGTTAAATTAGGCCTGGTGGATGCTCCCTCACCTCACCATCTACCATCTACTCCTCGGGTGTCCCCTATTTGGCACACTCCATCTCCACAAAGGGATAGGGAGAGAATCCGGCAAGAACCAGGATGAAGGGACTTTGTTTATCTGCAGGTTATATCCCTTTTGGAAGACCTTTTAGACACTGCTGAGATCTCTTCACATTTATATGTTTATAATATTTGCTTTCCTTTTTATCTCTCTGGTTGTGCATAAGATTAACAGAGGTCTTCTGACCTCTACTTTACCGTATGCTGATGTTTTAAATTTCTTGGACGTGCGACCCCACCCTGCCGCCTGACATGGCCTGTGATGTCACCGCCCAGTTGTAGGGTGGCAGCTCTGGACCCGGTGTTTTACAGCGGCAGAGTTTGGGCCCGACTGGCCCTTTAATGTTTGATTCCTATGTTTTTTCAGGCATGGCAGCTAGCCCACATGATCCATGGTTATTAGTGATTCCTTTAGCTGTAGGAGCTCTTACAGCTCCAAATCCATTACTCTATATTTCTTTCTCTTTGACAATTTTGGTACATGATGTTGCTTATGCACTGGTTTGTGGACATCCTGATCACCATTTTGGGGCATGGATGTTCCATAAATTGATATTGGCGGATTTAGTCTTGTCTGATGTGGATCTGTATGCTCCACTATTTAGTCAAACTATATGGGATACCTTTCAAATGTATACTATAATGCCGATAGATATGTTTCTTATTTGCCATGGTAATTCAATGTATTTCACATAATGTGCAGGGTTTCAACATGCCAAATAAGCGCAAAACTGCCTTTCTTCAATATAAACGCCTTGGGGCAAAAAATTATTTTACTACAGGAAAACTCATTTTGCATCCGCTAAACACCCAACATATTTTCATAGCTCTTACAAACAGGGGTTCTACACCCTACACTCTACTAAAAGTAGAGGTGTGGCCATTTTTTTACACAACTCATTTCCCCTCGATGTTCAACAGGTCTATCGCGACCCTGAGCAGGTTTATCATTATTAAAGGCACCCTCTCGGGTCGTGAACTCACGATCGCTAATGTCTATGCGCCTAATTAGGCGCAGGCATCCTTTTTTTCTCGGTTTTTCAAGACTCTCGATGGGTTTCTATCCCCCCATTTACTGGTGGGACGTGATTTTAATTTGGTAGCTAACCCCCTTTTAGACTGAAGCTCGTTCTCACCATCCTCCCAAGCTTTTCCAAAATCCCTTACCAAAAAATTGGATTTACTCCAGCTGGTAGATTCTTGGAGGGCACATAATATAGGTGCTAGAGATTATTCATTTTACTCCCACCCACATGACTCTTATGCTAGACTAGATTATATCTACTGTTCCCCTATCCTGCTAGCTAACTCTAGGAAACCTTGCATTCATCTAAGCCCCTGGTCGGACCACAATATTATCACGCTATCCATCACATTTATAGGATTAGCACCTACCCCCTATTCCTGGAGACTTAACGACTCTATGCTCACTGATACTAACTCCCGCCAGGAGGTTGTTACTTACATTCAGGAATACTTTCAGTCAAATAAAACTCCCGATATCTCTCCGGCTACACTGTGGGTAGCCCATAAGGCGGTCCTGCTTGGCCGCCTTATTTCCATGGCTTCTTCTAGAAATAGAGAACAGTGGAAACAAATTCAAAAACTTACCCGAGAATTAGAAGCACATTATAGAACTCATATTGGTAATCTATCTCTCCTTAACAAAACATTATTATCACAAAAGCATTTAGAATTGAATGCTCTGCTCTCCAAGAAAACTGAAAAACCTGGTCGAAGGCCTCCTTACTACATAGTAACTCATCGTCTACTATGTTTGCACAGAAATTAAACCATTCTATACGTCCCCCACACAGCTATAAGTTGCTTACCAAATCTGGTAGTATCTCCTCTCTTCCTCATGAAGTCCTGGGTGTTTTTGAGAATTTCTCCTCCAACCTATTAGCTCCCCCGCAATCAACTCCCACTTCCCTGAACTGCTCATGGCTAGACTCTATACTTCTCCCTGCTCTCACAGCCTCTCAGATATCCTCTCTCAATGCTCCATGCACTTTGGAGGAAATAACTCGTGCAATTAGCGCACTTCCACAGCACCGGGCCCTGATGGGTTTACTGCCAGTTATTATAAACATTTTGCCCCTACATTGGCTCCCTTTTTAATGTCTTTATTTAATGTTGTCTTGCAGAGAGGTAGGTTTCCCGAGGAAATGCTACTGGCTAACATGTCTCTAATACCTAAACCACTAAAAGACCATCATTTACCTCAAAATTATAGACCAATTTTGGTAATGAACAATGACTTGAAAATATTCAGCTGCATTCTGGCCGATAGGTTGGCTCCTACTATCTCTTCTTTGGTCTCTCCGGACCAATCGGGATTTATCCCAGACAGACTTATTACGGATAACATTCATCTCACATTAAACGTTATTCAGGATGCTAATTTGCATTCTAAAGAAGTTTTCTTACTGAGCCT